TTTGAGATTGTGTATCTTCAAAGTATTTACTAAAATGAATTCAATTCAAAGATTGGAACTACCTAGAAAATTTAACTGTTCATCCATACATTCATATATTCACATGTGCAATATGCTATTCACTGCACTTGGGAGAAAATAACCCACTCACTTCTTTAGCACCTCCTTTTCTCTATCCACTCTCACATATACTATCTTATTTGAAGATTCAAAAAGACATTTGGGGAAATAAAAGAGATGAGCCGTATTTGTTAGGTGTATTTTTCTCTCCAAAGCACTGATGGTGATTCACAATTATTTTCCATGTTATGGCTTGTGTTTCTACCCAGATACTATTGATACCTCTTCTCCTGAGGATATAAACCAGAACACAACTGCACTTGGCCTCCTTACTGACTTGCTTTCCTTTTTTTCCTTTACCATCACAAAGATTTTAGTTTCTGCCCGCATGTCCTAACCACAATTATCAGAGAAGCTGATAGAACTTGCTGTGCTTAACTTTGAGCCCTTGTAAAAATGTCAGTAAATATTTTTTGCTCTCTGCATGTTGCATTTTTCAATCAAATTAATTAGTTTATTCATAGAGAAGAAAATATTCTGTTGTCCCTATGCCAGTTGCCTTCCTGTACTTCCACAGTTGGAAGTTTTATGTTTATCTTCCCTCTCCCTTACCTCCTACCATCCCACATGTATTCCACAACATTTAAAAAAATCATTTGGCTTACTCTTCTTAAGGGGTTCTAACCAAATCATGTCAACATTTTCTCTCACATTAATTATTTTACTTTAAATATGAAAGCAGTGGCACTTAGTTTTGATTTAAATCTTATAAACATTGGTAAAGTTTTGTAATTAACCAATATCGGCATAGTCGTGCCAAACTCTTTCATGGCTGGAGATGTGTTAACCAACTTCTTTATTGTATTAGCTTTCACCTCATTATAAATTTATGTCCATTAAAGCACCAGAATTGGAAAGAAAATACATTAGCAAGGAAAGAATCAAATGAGAATGGGGTTATAAAGCAGAAAGAAAAGAAGAAGTAGTATCTGTGTGGTTATTTTTTTCTGATATTCCTTTGTAAGCATATTTTTAAATGTTGCAATTGTGAAAAAACAACTGCAAATTTATTTCTAATCATCCTGCTCATGCCCCTTATCCCCATATAAAGGAGCCACAACTATACCCTTTGGAACAAAAATGAGCAAGGCAGTTAGAAAAGGCTGGAGAAAAAAAGTAAAAAGCATATGTAAGGGCTAGGTTTGGTAGCTCATTTCTGTAACCCCAGTACTTTGGGAGGTCAAGGTGGGAGGATCACTTGACACAAGGATCTTGAGACCAGCCTGGGAAATATCACAAGACCTCATCTCTACAAAATTTTTTAAAATTAGAAAAAATTATATGTATATATTATTTTACATATAATATTATATATAAAAAGTGATATGGTATGGTAAAAATAATTAACTGACAGCCCATCATATTTATCACAATAATCTTTCTTTATATTTTATAATAATTGTGCATTCACAAACTAATTTTTTATACCCTTTCTCACCTAGTATCTTTTAGAGGTATGTTAGCCTCATGGAACTACTGCTGTTTCATTAATCTATAAAGTAGAGATCATAAGCAACGTGTATATTGCCCCAGTTCACATAAGTAAGTGTTTGGGAAAGCAAGACCTTATCCCTTAGGCAAACTGGAGTGGATTTTATGTAAGGCAGAAATCTGGGCATGCTATTCACTCTCTATTTTTAATATTTCTTGCTTTGTATAATTGTTGATGGTTTATGGAATAAATAGTATTTCCTAGATGCGACTTGTATAAAGGTAGTAACTGTAGGCACAAAGCAGGGATGTCTATTTCCAAAGGAAAAAGCATATGGACTGTCAAAAGGGGAATAAAAGAACTAAAACTAAACAGAGAAGTGGTTTTTAAATTAACTAACTGGCTGAGATAGTAGATTATACTTTTATCACAACTACCGCCTGGTCTAAGACATTAGCATCTCTTAACTGGCCAACTTCACTGGCCTAATAACTGTTCTTTCTTCCTCCACTGGCCTCACTGATACATTTTCCTAAACTATCTATCCCCTAAATAAAATCGGATGACTTTCTCTTGCACTTGGTCGAGAATTCAAAGCCCTGACCGACACTACTATATGTAATCAGTCTGCTACCTATATTTCAACCCCATCTCAGACCTCAGCCATCTAACTTACCACCCTGCAACTCTCCAGTCTCCATACTCTCTTGATTCCTCCAGCAAGACAAACTGTTCCCATTTTAGGGCCTTTGCATTAGCTCGCCCTATTCCCTGAACTACACTTCCCTGTGATCTGCAAATAGTGGTACTTTCTTGTCATTCAAATCTCAAACTATGGTTTTTGCCATTACCTTCAATGGAAAAAAACATGATTACTTTTGCAGCAATCTAGTAGTAAATATGCTGGTTGATGGTACTTACACTTGCTAAGTGTCAGTGTTCATAGATTGTAGTCAAAAGCTTATCTGTATTAACAAGAAGTTTTTAATTTTATTATATAAACTTAGGAATTGTAGCATAGCTTTGGATGTACTTAACATGCCTAGACAAATGTTAATTACCATTCTCTAATCTCTAAACCAAGGCTTAGACCAGAAATAATGGATTCCAACTGGATCTATCCAAACCCTGTCTTAGGTAGAGAGACAAAAGAAGTATGGACTAACCCATTTTTGTTTTCTAGTAATCTTCTACTCCAAAGTAATTATGTATTTAGAAAAAACAGGTAATGCTCCAACTTGAAGCTAATCATTGATAGGACCATGACAATGGAAACTGAGCAGGTTATCAATTATTTGAGGCATTGAATAAAATCTACATTAGCTTTTTTAAAATACTGACAATATCCTCTTGTCTTAATCAGCTTTTTGTTTCCTCCCATAAAATCTGTTAAAAATCAGGTCCAGCAAAATTTGCATAATGGCTTATCTCATTAGAATTTAATAGTTTTATGCATGAACATACAAAGTTAGTGAAAGTGGCAAGGAAGACTCACTGTTATTTCTAAACTCTCATATTATTTCTGAATTTGTTTTGCTGAACTAAGACTCTGTATATTCGTTTTTAAGAAATTTTTCCAGAAAAGACCATGTGATACAAGTGACTGCAGGTATGCATCTCACTGTAAAACCTCTAGGTTTTTGTAAAAGCTATGCCAGCTAGAAGGCTGTCCTTGTCTTCTTGATAATTATTCTAAAAGCTGTAACATGTAACAAAGCTCCTGCATATTCCCTAAGGACATATTAATTTTTTATGTCAATCTCAGCTAAGTAGTAATAATGCCATTTTAGCATTTCCATCCTCTAGTGGGATGGGGGTGAGGAAATTACACACACACATGTCTATGTGTCTGTCATCCTTCACTTAATGGCAGATATCCCTTGAAAGGGAGATTTCTTTTGAGTGAACATCTTTTTAAATGTTAGAATCATACACAAAAGACAATTTTTTTATATTTCAGATAAGGAATGAAAAAGTCACAATTTTAATTCCAGGAAGAATTCATATTTTCTTGCAACTCAATTTCACACTGCAATTAATTAACTGATTAGTATGAATAATTAATGCCCTGTTGTTACTCCTATTGAAAATGGGGAGGGTAGGAACAAGGGAGCAACTGGCCTCCAGGAGAGGATGGAAAAATAGAGTGCACATAGGAGAAGACAGTGGGGCTCTTACGGCAAGGGCAGGAAAAGAGGAGGTTGGATTTTCAAAACTTTCTAATTTTGTTTGAGGTTGCTTTGGTTAAGTTCCACAGATCGCCTGTGGAACTTAGTTCTAACCTGAAGAATGTCGGCATATGACCCCAAGTAGGCAACTTATATCTTAATATTGATAATAGATGGAGTAAATTAGTGAACCTGGTAAACACTGGGAGGTAGGCAGACTCAATAGTTATAATATGATTATTGTACCTCTCACCTCTAGGAGTAGTTACAGTCATCACCATGATCACAGCAGGGAAATAACATCAATATGCATAGATTAGTATCTCCTGGCTTAAAATACATACACAGTTATGAACCTTCTATCTGATATGTGCCTTATTTATTCTTTCAAAATACCTGAGCTTAAAAATATATTTTTCTCCTCCCTATTGTCACACTATAAGTTAGTACTGGAATAGCAATTCTTCTAGCATACCTAATGAGTTTCTTTGGTCCTATGTTAAAGCTTTTAATCTTCATAAATAATAGCTAAGTAAACTTAAGGCATTTGGACAATTTCTTTAGCTTAATGCATTCAAATCCACAGTTGACGCTTCATTTCTTTCCATTTAAAAATAAATCTATCTTGTCTTGATAGGCTCTACATGAATACACATGCCTAACAATATAAATCAAAGCAACCTATCCAGAATGACAAGATCTGCTGGTTAACTTTATAAGAAATATATCATTTTTCATAAAAGTCTCCAAAACTATTTTTTTAATTAAGTCAATATATATTCTTAAGAAAATTCACAGGCATACTGTATTTGAATAAGAATTTCCTAAAATGTTTAATTTTTTTCAAGAGGATTTCCATGTATAGATGAGTAACTCTTTAATATTTTCAAGGGCTTTTTCTTCAGAAGAGAAGTTTCCTGTCAACTGTAGCTAATAGGTGATTTTATGTACATAATCTCCTGTGCATGCTTCTGTTCCTTTTATACTAACATTTTAATTTTTCAGGAAAACCTAGAAAATATTAACTAGGACAGAATTTTGGCAACTCATAAAACAGTTCTATAGATAACAGTGCATCTATCTAACATCTGCTTTTCAGTTATAGAAGTGAAAACTGAAAGGTTATTGACATGAAAATCCAACCATAGTTTCCCTTGAAAGAAAGCTGTGTGCCTTGGGAACAAACTGAGAATTGTAACTTAACCATCAAACCACATAAAAATAATAACAAGATTCTTAAACGTCTTAGTTTTCTTAATTAAAAGCAAATAAGGACTTACTTGCTTTGTTTTTCCATGCTAGCTACCCTGAGGCATTCCCATCTTGAATTTAGGAGATTCATCTGCTCTTGTACTTCAGTTTCTTCATCTTCTGATAATTTCCCTGTTCCAATAAGCTGACTTCCCAATCGTAGAATATTACCAACCCGGCCCTGATGGGCTGTCAAATCCATCATATACCCCTAACAAAGAAGGAAGATAACAATTGTAATAAGAACTTTAGGTAAATCAGTGTGGTGTTGAGATTTATTTGTTTGCATTTTTAAACTTGTAGCCCATTTAGATTTCTATTCCCAGTAAAAGGATTTTAGTTTATATCTGCAGAATCCCAATACCACTTTTTGGGGTAAAAAATAGTATTTAATATATAATATTTACCATATTTCAGTTATAATGCCTTTACCATATATATATATTTAAAGTTCTAGGGTACATGTGCAGAATGTGCAGGTTTGCTACATAGGTATACATGTGCCATGGTGGTTTGCTGTACCCATCAACCCATCATCTACATTAGGTATTTCTCCTAATGCTACCCCTCCCCTAACCCCCGACCCCCTGACAGGCCCCAGTGTGTGATGTTCCCCTCCCTGTGTCCATGTGTTCTCATTGGTCAACTCCCCAACTTATGAGTGAGAACAAGCCATGTTTCGTTTTCTGTTCTTGTGTTAGTTTGCTGAAAATGATGGTTTCCAAAAGATGGTTAACTATGCCTGAGCAAGGCAAAGCAAGAGGAAACTCTGGTGCAGGTCCATAATGGTCCTGATGTTCACATCGTCTGATCTGGGTATAGGGGTAAAAACTCATCAAACCATTCAGTAGCTGGTTCCATCCGAAGTTTCCCTCAGGATAGCTAGCAGTCTTGCAAACCACCCCACGCAGTTTTATCCAGTAAAGCAAATGATTAGAGATCTTGGAGCTGAAACCAATACCACTTTTAATATGAATTAAGGAAAATTATCATAAGTCACCTTCTTCAGAGCAGACCCTGAGATAAGGATTTCGGTGCAAGTGATCTATTAAGGAAGAGCTCCCAGGAAGGTCTGCATGAGAGCTGAAGAAGGAAAAAGGATAGGGAAGGGAAGGAAGACAAACAACTGTGTCATCTCAATAAAAAGTCTCCCACTGAGAGTAGTTAAACCCAATACCATACACATACTCAGGAGTGTAAGCAATGCCTCAGCATTGCCTTGACACAAGAGAAAGAAGCTGGACTTTTATATTCCTGTATGAGTCACTGGCAAATCAGATTGAAATGCCTGCCATGGTTGCCAAATCTGACTGTTGGAATCCCAAGCACATAATAACTGCATTTCCAAAATACAAGGGTCTAAGAGAGTAATTGAGGAAAATGGATGATTTGGCATTATAACAAGTCATATGTTTTGTTTTGTAAATTAATGTTTTAGTTTACCTCATGAGTATGAAATTGTTCTTTCACCACTTCCACATCATTAGAAATCTCTCCTTGTGCTTGCAATGTGTCCTCGGCAGAAAGAAGCCACGATAGTACTTCTTCTAAAGCTGTTTGGTAATGGTCCAGGTTGACTTCACTCTCCATCAATGAACTGCCAAATGACTTGTCTTCAGGAGCTTCCAAATGCTGCACAATAAAATAAATTGTGTGTTACACAATTAATGTCTTTGCAGACTGTTCTAGTACATTAAATGATAAATCAAATGAAATACTTAAAATGCTAGAAATGTCCACTTGCATTATCAGATAAATGAACAGCAGATATGTACAATAGTGAGCTTTCATTTTAACTTCCTCACACATACATAAATTTTCAAACAGCAATCAAAATCCACACCAAATAAATATTGTATTAAAGCTCTTCTAGATTACTGGAAAGAGTAAATTAGTATACCACCTCTTCTTGTTGCTTTTTAAATGTTATAAATTTTGATCCAGTGTAAATTTTCTCAATTCTTATTTACAATAACTTACATATACATTATTGGAATTATACTTATATACCTTTGCAATGGCATTAAAGGAAACATCTCGGCCAGGTGCGGTGGCTCAAGCCTGTAATCCCAGGACTTTGGGAGCCTGAGGTGGGTGGATCACAAGGTCAAGAGATTGAGACCATCCTGGTCAACATGGTGAAACCCCGTCTCTACTAAAAATACAAAAAATTAGCTGGGCATAGTGGGACGTGCCTGTAATCCCAGCTACTAAGGAGGCTGAAGCCGGAGAATTGCCTGAACCCAGGAGGCGGAGATGGTGGTGAGCCAAGATTGCACCCTTGCACTCTAGCCGGGGTAACAAGAGTGAAACTCCGTCTCAAAAAAAAAAAGGAAAACATCTCTTCCTGAGAGGCCCTAGGGAATCAAATATTTCCAAATGTTCACACATTGTGTGAATTCGCAAAGGTTCAAAGTTATCAGTAAGAAAACAAGAAGGGAGAGGGAAGGAAGGCAAAATTTAGAAAGAAAAAATATCTCACCTACTCATCTTAAATTTCTAACAGCATGATGACTTCTATGAGTTAGCCTTTATTTTTCAGAGGTCATGATTTAAATAGTAAGACATTATCATAGGAGAAATATGAAGTATGCTGTCCCTAATTTAATTAGGAAGATATTAAATGAGAATCCAAATGGTGGTCTTGGAATTTCTGCCTGGACCCTAAAGATAAGAACAAAGTGTACAAAGCATCCAGAATTCTAAAGAGAAGATCCAGGGTACCTCGTAAAAGATTACTAAGAAGTGATCACAAAATTGGTCTCACAACCCTTAATCCACTATCCAGCTTAAAGGTGTATAAGGGGAAGCAAGGAGATTAATTAGAAAAATCTGTTGATAAAGGCTTCCCCTGGAGAGGCTAGAGTTCTCTGCATGGCAGTAACTTCTCCTCATCTGAAGCCAAGTAATAGAGACAGGGTAGTTCACATGACCTCTAAACCCGACCATTTGTTTACAGAGATTTACATGCTATGGGACCCATATTGTCAAGTGATAGGAGAGACCTCTTGGGATAACCTACACGTCTGCTGCCTTAACCTAAAGGCATTTATCAAGGGCAAAAACTTGAGTAAATTAATAAGTTTGCATGAGGTTTTCTTTGGGACAACTGTATTCCTTGTAGGTTGCTGGGCTTCAAAAATCCTGAGGATCACACTCGAGAGTTTGCTGAGGTAAAGGACAATGGCATACCATTTATGGAGTTGAGCAGAACAAATATTGGAGAAGTATTTGAAGAGGAATCTTCTGCATTCCCCAAATATTTCAAGCAAGCACTGGGCTCTAACAAACAGGGTTTTGTAAAGGAAACAAGCAGTGTAGAACAACAGAAGCTGTTTGGGGGATTTCATAATCTCGCCTAGAGAAAACTCAACCTTTGGTGGCTTTTACCTGATGTGTCTGCACTGCATTTCCAGTCCTTTTCAGTTCTGGGACTTAACCCACTAAGCTACCAGCACCAACTTACTTGGGCTCTTCTGATAATGCTCCAACTTTGAAATTTTTATATTTTAAATTTCCTCAACTGTTAAATCCTTCAAGATGACAAGGTGTAGTGGCAGTTATTGCTATGATATTTTCATCAAATGATGCACTGTTTTTTCCAGTTTATATAGAAGGAGCAAACAGAGATCATCCTCATACGTCAAAATCACCCAACTTTATCATCTCAAACAGCATAAGTGCCCTGAAAGGACTATTTGCATGGGACCCCTGGCTAAGAGCAAGGCAATTTCTGAAGGTCTTAGGAGTTAGAACAAGTCCCATGATGTATCTTTTCTATCTCTAAATACTATTAATAATAAATATCAAAGTCAGCATTAAGGGGGAAAATAACATAATGGTGGCCTGAAAGATGTGCGCAGGTGGAATGAGCTTGATGTTTGTGCAACCCCAGCAGTAGCACAGGGCCCTGAGTGCAGAAGAAACACATGCCTCTTTTATCTGCTGATACCATCCTGAAATTCTTAATAATTTTATTTTTAATTTGTGTTTTATGAGTGAAGTACAATGGGCAATGAAGTCTGTGCCTGAGCAAAGGAGAAAGGGTAATATGTGTATCTGATCTATTTGCATATAGCATTTTTAATGCCCTACAAGCACAGAAGTCTGGTGAGCTCACAATATGTGTGAGTTTAGCAAGATTCAAAGAGAATATGGGGTAAGCGTGCTAAGTCTATGATTCAGTAAACAAGGTCACTAGCAGCCCAGGGAGATAGTGCTTTCTATTCCAACCAGACCTTGCTTCAAATGCAGAAAGAGGCAATTATTTCAATAAAATACAAATGACCAATACACCGTATCATATCTTTCATATTCCTGTTACATTCCTGTATTAACCAACCACTTACACTGAAATTGATGACACAGAAAGGGAATCCTCTGATTTTGGCAGTTACTTAGCCCTGCATAAGCCTTAGTTTCTATTTATTGTAAAATGGGAACCATAATACTTCCGTAATAAGATCGTGGTAAGAATTAAAGAGTGTATAATGCACTTGACAGAATGTCTGACCTTGTGTAAGAACTAAATAAAGTATGTTACGGCTGTAATTATTATTAAATTCCTGTATATATAAGAACTGTTTTGAAACATAACTTGCCCCAAGGTTACCTTCTTAAGTCATGGTTTCGATTTCAGGAGACAGTTAATTATTGTAGAAAATTCTCCCCCCAAAATGTGTAAAAGCAAACGTTAATTATTTAACTATTTTTGAAATATGAACCTCAACCTAGCTCATATTTAAGAGTTCTTAAAAATCATTAACAATCTTGAGTCCAAATAATATTCTCCAAAGGAACCACTGTAAACAGCACTAGTACTCAAGTAACACAATATTTTACCATTTTGAAATGTGAATCAAAATACTGAACACCTTATGATTTACTGATATTTACAAAGGATTAAATTTTTGATGGAAATATTAAAAAGCATATTCTTATACTCAAGGACATGATGTCTAGTACTCATAAATTCTGTATCTAAATATTTTCTCTGACGATGTGCATAAACAAAAACATTTCAAAGACAGCCTTCTTAAAGCTAAGTTCAAATTTGAATAAGCTATGCAAAATGATGTATTTATATCCATAAATTCAACTATACACATATATTTAAATACATAGAATTATAATTAAAAATTTAATTTGAGATCTGAGTAATTATGTATTTGTCTAGATAGACCACTGTTTTTCAAATTGTAACTCATAATGCATTCATGGTTCATAAAATCATTTTAGTCGGTTATAACAAGAACTATTTTAAAATTAAACAGAATAAAAAATATTAGTCTGTGTCACTTATATAATACTAAGGATTTCTTTTCTCAGTTTTTGTTTCAGTTGTGCATAAGGGTCTATGTAGATATGTATATATGTTCTAAATTTAGATTAAACTTTATTCTGCAGTTTGTAAAACAAACTTGCAAATGGTTCTAGAATTTCAAACTAAGTAAACTGATGAAAAAAGAAATTTGCTTGAATTCTACATTTGTATATTTTCCATAGAAACCTTGGATTAAAACATATTTTTAAATAAAACCACGTTTAATCTGAGAATTTGGAAATAAAGAAGCTTATGCTTTGTTTCAACACCCCAAAATACATATTTATCATCACAGAATTTTACATTTTACCTAAGCTTCAGATCAGTTCATACATGTCATGGCATCAAATGAGTCCCTTTTCCCGGAAACTTTATTTTTGTTGTTTAGAGATCTATGCATAAGAAAGATACACGCCAATCATTTCATGAATGAAGATACCAGTATCATCAACTGCAACTAATTACTTTTCCTATGCCTCAATCCTATTTTAATTTTGACTTTATCACAGTAGTTTATATTTCTATTCAGTACATTGGGCAAATAATGATAATGATGAGAGGCATAACAATGAATGGATGAAACAATTCTGTTTTTTTTTTTCAAAATTGAGTACACTCAAATTTATTCAACGTTATCCACAGACTTCAGAGGCTTAATTACTGCATGTCAGTTTGAGGAAGTATTAGATATTGTCACCTATGTCCCTTGAAGACACTGCTCATTAAAAGAGGTAGAAGAGTAGAAAGGAGAAACGTAAAACAGTAAGGGATGATAAATGACTGCTTTAGTCCAGCAATGTCCAGAAAAGTCTCTAGAAACTCGTTCTTGGAGACAATTTCTAGTCATAATTTCTAATCATAGAATTTCTATGACTAGAAATTGCCCTAATAAAATATAAAGCAATACCCTTGATACTACTACATATATAAATATATTTTAAAATTCAGTTCACTCTCTGTCTGTAAGGTATTCAACCTCTCTGCATCTCAGTTACTCCATCTATAAAACAATAAAAATAAAAATGTATGTCCACAGGATTGCTGGAAAGATTAGATGAGATAGTGCATATAAAATGCTAAGCACATTCTAGATCCCAAGAAATGCTCTGCAATGCCTGTGTTTGGGGGCCAATGTTCATTGAAATGGCAAATGATTTTTATGAGCCAACAGTTGAATGAGCTCAGTGTGTTTTTGGAAGCATGATTTGGGCAATTCAAACTGATAAGTCATCAATTGCTACATATAGGTAGTGAAACCAGCAGTGCGGCAAACCACAAAGCTCTCAGAAAAATAGCTGCGACATTTTGA